GGGGAGGCAGAGCCGCTTATAACCCCGGCAGGGGGGAGGCAGAGCCGCTTATAACCCCGGCAGCGGGGAGGCAGAGCCGCTTATAACCCCGGCAGTGGGGAGGCAGAAGCAGGAGGATCCCGGAGGTTGGCCACACAGCCTAACCTAAGTGCCAAACTCCAAGCCAGTGAGAGAATCTCTCACAAAACAAGGTAGGTGGCACCTGAGAAATGACACCAAAGTTGACCTCTGGCCTTCAAATATACGTGCACATATGTGTACACACACACACACACACCCCAAGAGACTTCAAGACATCATAAAAGGAGGTATCCAAACCAAGTACTCTGTGAGAAAATATTTTCATTAAAAATGAGGAAAATGTGAATTAAGACTCTAAACTCTCAGAACAACACCCACCAGGATGGCTAAAGACTGACATTCTCGCTGCAGCCCTGAGGAGCTGCCGATGGAAAATGGATTCAGGACTCAGAAACACGTGCGTGTGTACCCTTCTGCTCCTGCAACTCCTGCATGTGGACCCGAACGACGTACGTACCCAGACTGTACACAGGGACACCGGCAACTATTCAGGCCAGCACCTTCCCTAAAGAGTGAAAACCTGAATGAACTCTCAGGCTCACCAACTATGGGACAGCGGCAGACTCTGATGGGGTGCTGTATGACAAGTCATGTAGAAAGAAACCAAACATGGAGCACAGACAGAAGTCAGATGATTCTATCTTCACAAACTTCAAAAGTAAGATGACTTAACTCATGGTGTCAGAAGTCAGGATAGTGCTCAACTTTGCCAGAAGATGAAGGGGAAGTTGTGGGAGAGACAGGAGCAAGACTTCAGTTACGGGGTGTAATCTTTTCTATACAGATCCACATAAAAATGTGCGTCAAAGCCGGGCGGTGGTGGCGCACGCCTTTAATCCCAGCACTCGGGAGGCAGAGCCAGGCAGATCTCTGTGAGTTCGAGGCCAGCCTGGGCTACCAAGTGAGTTCCAGGAAAGGCGCAAAGCTACATAAAGAAACCCTGTCTCGAAAAACCAAAAAAAAAAAAAAAAAAAAATGTGCGTCAGTTAAGTCTTTGCAGTAATGTGGTGTTAAGGGGAAATGAATGATTTAGGAAGCAATATTGCAAGAGTGCAGAGGACAGAATATTACCCGCCATAGCGTGTGATAGGCTACGTTGGCTTCTCAGGAATGAAGAAATAAAGGAAACCTGTGATGGCTAAATAAAAAATTGCTGTGAGGTTGCTAAAGGGAGCTCTCAGTGTGACAGAAGGTGCTGAGTACAGCCGGTCCAGACTGGAGCAAGCTTGCAACCACATCCCCAATGCCCTTGGCTCTGTTTTCTCACCTGAAGACAGTATGTGAATAGAAGCCTGCTCCCGTATTCACGGACACGGCACATGCGTGGCAGCATTCTGGCTCTGTCCTCCAAGCCCTCTGTCTGGATCAGCTGAGGATGCACATTAATTAATCTGTGTGCTTTTGCAAAAACAGAGGTGCATTCATAATTATTGTCTATCTGCAGCTAAGAAAATATAATTGCAAAGTAAAAATAACAATCTTCCCCAGAGCTGCTTCCTCAGACAATCTAATTAGGGATTAAAGTTCTTCCCTAGAGGCCTGTCTGTGAACTAACTCTCCAAGTGATTTTAGAGGAATTTCATGTAGGGAAAGGCTGCTGATCTTTCTGAGTTAAAATGTCAGTGTCCTTTGCACCCTGATTCTTTCTTTGGGATTGCCACCATTCTCTAAAAAAATATTTAAAATATACCTGCTTTATTTTCCTGCCAAAGCAAGTCTACAGTGATAGGGATTTTCAAGAACTGGGCCCTTTCCTTCTCTCTTGCTTTTTCTGCAACTTAGTATCTGTTAGCTGGTATCTTGTATCTAGCTTTTAAAATTAGTATTTTGTAATTTGTTGCAACTCATTTTGATTTTTTTCTTTTATCTGCACTTTATGTGCATTGGTGTTTCACCTACATATATGTAGGTGTGAGGGTGTCAGATCTCCTGGAACTGGAGTTACAGTTGGTTGTGAGCTGCCATGTGGGTGCTGGGAATTGGACCCAAATTCTCTGGAAGAGCAGCAGGTGCTCTTCACCACTGAGCCATCTCCGCAGCTCAACTCATTTTGACTTTTCCAACCACTTAAACCTGTGATTGTATATGGTTGTGCGTGCCTATAGTCCTAGGCTTTGGGAGGCTAAGGTACTTTTCCAACCACTTAAACATGTGATTGTATATGGTTGTGCGTGCCTATAGTCCTAGGCTTTGGGAGGCTAAGGTAAGAGGCACAAGAGTTCAAAGTCAGCCTGTCTTTTTAAAAAGAAAGAAAGAAAAAGCCAGGTGTGATGACACATGCCTTTAATCCCAGTACTCAGGAAGCAGAGGCAGGCAGATCTCTGTGAGTTTGAGACCAGTCTTCAGAGCGAGTTCCAGGACAGCCAGAGCTGTTACATAGAGAAACCCTGTATTGAGAAAAAGAAAAACCAGATAATCCAACCTATCAAACTCCCACTCCAAACCTACAAAAACTCAGATGTAGGCCATACCCAGCCCACAGGTTTGTAGACTCTGTTTAGAACGTTCATCTTTGCTTACACATTAACCCACAGTCTACATGACCAACTGCTTGGGAGAAGGGAAATTTGTCTTGGAGAAAATTAGACTAAATTATACTAAAGCCCTTTTCTCAAATTCCATTTTTATTTTACTGATACTTCAGCATTCCAATTCAAACTGTATACTTTCTTCTTTAACAACTGTATGGGAAATTAAGAGTTAAATATCACCCTCTTAGTGGGGGAAATCTTAACATTGAGCCTGAAAGCTTATTTTCTGGAATCCCAATTCAAGGTAACAGCTAGAATCATACAAGATTCTCTCATAACCAGCTGTTGAGATGAATACTTTAGAAGATGCTAATGACATCTTACATTTCTCATAGGAATTACAACCACAAATTATGGAAGCTGCCGAGTACTAGATTTCATTAATAATGTATTTTTGACCACACCGTGCCTCATGTTTGCCTGCTGAAACTATGTGGTCCCAGTTTGCTATGACACATAGTCACTTTAAAGGATGTAGTATCTAAACAAGGATTGGTTTCTTCCTGTCAGAAACCTGAGCTAATCTGCAATAAGCATACGTTTATTCATTTTACCACCGATGCCTACTTAAATCTCTTGTAGCAGTCAATCTGAAAACCTTATATCAAGTGTTTTCATACATTTCAAGGTAGGTACTCAGACCAAATGGAGTTCAAGACAGATCTGGACAACTTTAGAAGTTTCCATTTTATGATGTTCAACTTTCCTTATAATTGTTTGGCTTTTCTTGTGACCATTCAACTAAAATTCACTGTAAGACTCAGGGTTGTGTATGATGGTTCCTTCCTGTAATCCTAGTGCCTAGAGAGCCGCGGCAAGAGGATTCAGAGTTTAAGGTCATCTTCAGAGCCACACGGTGAGGTTGGTTGATGTCAGCCTGGGCTACATGAGGCCCTGTTTAAAAAACAAAAACAAAACTTTAAAAAGAATTATCTATTATATATAAAGATTTAATTTTGTGTATATGTAGGTGTATATCCAAGTGTGGGTTTGTGCATGTGGGCGTAGTGCCCTAAGAAACTAAAGAGGGTGCTGGATCCGCTGAAGGTGAGTTACAGGGAGTCGTGAGGTACCTGATGTGGGTGCTGGGAATGGAGCTGGAGTCTTCAACAGCAAGAGTGATGTACCCTTAATGGCAGGATCATCACTCCAGCTCAACCTCTAATTTTTAATTAGTTATTATTATTTGAGATAGAAATGTACTGTGCTGTCCTTGCTGGCCTGGAACTATGTAGATCAGGTTGGCCTCTAACTCATAGAGATCTACCTGCCTCAGCCTCCCGAGTGCTCTGATTACAGGCATGTGCCACCACACCCAGCCCATCCTTGAGGATTTCATGGAACTTTCAAGTTATGTTTTGCCATATTAACTACCATAGATGGGCATCTGCACCTTGAGAAAGCATACTTGGTGAACATACTAAGTGGAGATATCTGTCTATGCAGTCTTGTCTTACAAGTCACCAATAAAAATATCATTTTTTGAAAATTTCCTTATGTTTCATACTTTGTTTTAATCCCAAGGAGAGAAAACACACCTGTGTTGAAGACTTTAATAATAGTGAGTATTGCACACATGATGCTGCAGTGTTGTTTGTTTTTTTAAACAATACCACATCAAGTATTCAGATTAAGAACTGAGTTTTGGAAAGATACTGGGCATTAGATGGCCAAAGGCAGCTGGATAAAGTCAGGACCGTGTAACTCTAAAGCTATACTGGTTCCATCATTCTGAGATACAACTTCCAAGAAAAAGAGACAAAAAGCTCTGGGTTTCTGTAGGAGGGGCTGGCAGGAGCTTTTGAGTGGCAGAGAACACTTTAGCTGAGTCTATGGAGATATTTGAGTCTAGATGGGCCACAATATCTTGCTTTAAGAAGGAACCTCAAATCTCCATTCCAAGCTTATTACGACAGAAATTAATTTTAGTAAATAATATTGCGGGCACTTGTTGGTCCTCCAGAGCCATCGTCCTGTGGCTGTAGCTGAGCCCTAGCTCCTGGGCATTGTGACATCTCCAGTCATTCATATCTCTTTCCCCGGTCACTGCAGCAAGGAAAAACAGAGCAGTATACCACTCACACCAGAAGTGACACACTAGTTTTTCACGGCTCATTGACCAAAACAAGTCATGTGGCTGTGCTTATTTTACAGGGTGGAAAGTGAAATTCTGTGAGCTCAGCAATGCAAAGTTGAAGCTTGTAAACAACAGAGAAGGTCAGGGTTTCATATGGTGACTGTGAAAAGGGGCTTCCATTAGAGAGAAGTGGAGGTATGACGTGGAGAAGTGCGGGAGTGGAAACACACTTGTAAGGCGGTGAGACGAATACTCTGCTTAGAAGTCACATATGAAACAGCAGGAAAAATAAAGCCGCGAAAAGAGCCGCATAGTTGTCTTTGACGCGAGGGTTTTCCTGGGCTGGTCACAAATGGGACCTTCCCAAGGCAGTGTCTGAGGAGGCTCGGTTTGCCGTGAGGAGAGCGTGCAAACCAAAGCGTGGTGAAACAAGAAGGAATGCTAGGATTAGACAGAGGGGACGGACTATGAGCAAGCCGGGAGTGTTCAGGGTAATGCCAGGGTCAAAGAGATGAGCCTCTAAATCAAGCACTTAGGGAAGAGTCAGCAGGGGAGTGACAGCAGAGGGGAGGGAGGCTTGGCACAGAGCCCAGGAACTGGGACCGGCAGGGGCACGGGCATCTGGTAAGGATAGGTGAGAACGGGGTTTCATCTACAGAGAATGCACAGTTGAAAAAGGTACAGTATATAATGTGTCAAATTCATTAAACTTACTGGAAACAAAGCAATTAGCATAGCACAGCCCCGCCCCCCCTTTCCAAAGAACAAAAACAACGATATATTACAGCCTTCTATGGCTTAAAGTCCTGCAAAGACTTTAGAATGCTATGGAAGTCTTCTGAACAAATGGGAATTCTAACGCAGTGCCTTTTAATAATTAAAATGAAAAGATGTGTACATTAAAATTGAATGATTTTCCTCTTTTCTATGTGGTGCTTCTGTACAGTTTCCCTCAGAGCTCGTCAGAACTCCCCTCAAGTGGTTAATGTTTAGATCTAGAACAGATTCTTATTTCAAACAGATAGTCGGGAAACAACTTGTAAACCTTCACTGGATCTGATCCTTGTAGCAGCTCAGTAAGGGCAGTTCATGTACGTTGTCATCCTTGTTTATTTCCCATGAGGAAACGAAGGTTCAGATAGCCGCAAGGACCTGTTTACAATCCTCAGTAGTGTCAGAGGTGGATCACAAACCTGGGAACTGTGGCTGTTGGCTAGTGCTGCTCCTCTGATCACATGCACGTTCAGTGTGGGAGTGAAGACAGGTTCACCTGAGCAGAAGGAAATGTGTGGCCTTGGGAAAGTCTCAAGGTCAAATGGAATCTGAAAATTTATTTCAGCCAATGATACCCAATGCCGACTGTAGCAGGAATCTTAAAAGTTCTTATTAATAAAATCAAACCTGAGGCCAGTTATTGGGGTGAATGCTGGAAGATCAGAGAAGCAGAACAGGCCACAGCTACCTCACCTCGCTAGTTCCTCAGCTGATCCTGTTTCCTCAGACTGGAAGCTTCTGAGTCCTCATCCAAATGGGTCTCTGCTGCTCCAAAGCCTGAATGCTTACCCAGGCAAATGCTTCTAGTTTCTGGTCTCCACGCCTTATATATCTTTCTGTTTTTGCCATCACTCCCTGGGATTAAAGGCTCACTTCTTGGGATTAAAGGCGTGTGTCACCACGCCTGGCAGTTTCCAATGTGGCCATGAACTCAGAGATCCAGAGGGATTTCTGCCTCTGGAATGCTAGGATTAAAGGCGTGTTCTATCACTGCCTAACCTCTGTGTTTAATATTGTGGCTGTTCTGTCTCTGACCCCAGATATGTTTATTAGAGTGCACAATATTTTGGGGAACACAATACCACCACAGCCGACCCAGCAGCACCAGACTCACTTAGGGAGACTTAAATACCCGGATTACTGGCCTCTCCATGAGAGTCTGACTTGCTGTGTTTGGGATGAGGTTGAAGGTGTATTTGTTAGATTTAAGTCATTTGAAATCATATACGTATTATATAATTTGCTTGTCTATGTAGCCCAGGCTTGCCTCGATCATCTGAGAGCTAGCAACAAGTGTGCCCCACTATTCTCAGCTTGCCTTCTTTACCTTATCACTTCTTAGTCCTCTCCACGTTACCTTTTCATGTATTTCTTTAAGGCTCGTAAAACGCATTTAAGTTCTTTTCAGGATATCAGTTTTATTCCTCTGGAGCGAGATTTCTCTCTAGACTGCTGACTGTGACGGTCTTTTGGCACTCAATCTCTTCACGCACTTTAGGAATTTCTGGTTTGTTAGCTGATGTTACTCTCAGCAGTCTCTTTGCTAGGAAGGGCTGTGACTGGGAGCATCCTGTTGTCACGGATGGATGAAGCTGGCTCACTCACTGGATGGGCTAGTGTAGAAGGCCGCATCGGTGGCTTCTCTCTGGTGATGCCAAGCACACCACATGCTCTCCTTGCAGTCACTTTCTCCTCTCCGCAGCACTTCCGGCCACCACTCCCCACCCCACAAGAACCTAGCCCTGTGCAGGATCTGCTTGCGGTGGGTCCCAGTGTGCAACGGGACTCCACCTCAGCCCCTTCTTGCCATTGGGTATGCCCTTTTAGAAAGGGGCGATCAGCCGTGTCCCAGTGGCTTCCTTTTTGCTCTTGGTGTATATTAGGGTAGATATGTGTGTGTGGCCGAGTGCTTCAGGGCACATATCCACAACACCATCTTCACAGAAGGCCAGAGTCAAGCTTTCACTTCTCATGGCATTAACTGACATTGTCAAGAGCACTTCAAAAATGTTTAAGTGGCATTGCATTTTCAAAAGCAAGCAAAACTCCTTCATTTCATATTTTTGATTTATAGACATAGTAGTAGGTATTTTTTTAGGAAGCATTCTTAGACATACTTTCCGCGTTTCACGAACAAGGCATTTTCTCAACGCTGCTTTTT